CCGTCCTCGGCACCGGCACCTTCGGCACGGTCTTCGTCGCCGAGCGGCGCGCGCGGAGCGCCGCGTCCCGGGCCGCCCCGCGCGCGCGCGCCCGCCGCCGCCGCGCGCGCCCGCCCGCCGCCCCCGCGCGTCGCCGCGCGCGCACCGCCCGCGACCCAGGCGACGGGCGCCAAGTTCGCCCTGAAGCGCCTCGCGAAGGCGTTCTACGTCGACGAGGCCAAGTGGCTCCAGGTCCTCGACGAGCGGGCCATCCTCTACGAGCTGCGCCACCCCTTCGTCGTCGGCCAGCACGGCTCCTTCCAGGACGCGGCCCACCTCTACCTCGTCCTCGACTTCGTCGCGGGCGCGCGGCCCGCGCCGGACGGGATCGAGCTCCGGCGTTCCCGACGCGTCCCCCCGCCCCCGCAGGCGGCGAGCTCTTCGGCTACCTCAAGGTCGTGGACCGCGTCCCCGAGGCCGCGGGCCGCTTCTACGCCGCCCAGTGCGTGCTGCTCTTCGCCTACCTCCACGACCGGGACGTCGTCTACCGCGACCTCAAGCCCGAGAATTTGCTCCTCGACGACCGCGGCTACCTCAAGCTCATCGACTTCTCCTTCGGCAAGCGCGTCGAGCGCGGGTCCAAGACCTACACGCTCTGCGGCACGCCCGAGCGCGGACCGCCGGCGCCGAAGCGACGGTTTTCGCGCGCGAGGTTTTGTCGTAGGTACCTCGCGCCCGAGGTCCTCCAGTCCACGGGCCACGGCCGCGGCGTCGACTGGTGGACGCTGGGCTGCCTCGTCTACGAGATGCTCGTGGGGCAGCCGCCCTTCGAGAACGCGAACGGTTTTTTTTCCGAGCCGCGCGGGACGCGCGCCGCCGGGACGGCCGGTCCGCAGGCGACGCGCTCGCGCTCTACACGCGGATCCTCGACGACGACTGGGCCATCCCGTTCCCGAAGGACGTGAGCCGCGCGGCCAAGTCGCTCGTCCGGCGCCTCTGCGAGCGCGAGATCACGAAGCGCATCGGTCCTTTTTCGACGGCGCCCCGCGTCTTGTCGCTCCGGGACGCGCCGCTGTCCCCCGCAGGCTGCGGCCGCCTCGGGAGCTACTCCGTGAAGAAGCACCGCTTCTTCTGGGCGCTGTCCTGGCGCGGCCTCCTCGACAAGCTCCCCGCGGCGCCCTACGTGCCCCGGCTCGCCGACGCCGACGACCTGTCCCACTTCTCCGGCGCGTGCAAGGACCCGCCCGCGGCGCCCGGCAAGGCCGCGTCCTGGCCCGAGGACCGCTTCGACGCCTGGGGCTAGGCGAGGTGCGGCGCGGCCCCTTTCCCGGATTCGCCTCCGGCGATCTCCCGTTACGTGTCTCCCCTTGCGGCCCTAGAAGACGCCCATGAGGTCGTTGAGGCGGTGGAGGTCCTTGCGCGCCTCGGCGTCGTCCGGGAACGGGTACTCCGCGCCGATGGCCGTCGCGCAGAGGAAGCCGGAGAGGAGCGACATGTCGTGGCAGTTGCCCGGCGTCGTCCAGTTGGAGCAGTAGTAGAGGCCGTCCAGGCCCTGGCAGAGCCGGAGGCTCAGCTGCGCCATGACGTTCCACCCCGAGTAGAGCGGGTGCGCGCGCGAGTGGTTGCCGCCGCCCCGCACCAAGGTCTCGTCGATCTTCTTGCCCTCGCCCAAAGCGTGCGAGATGAGCATGACGGGCTTCTTGTCCAACGGCAAATCGTAGACGCCCGGGCCCGGCGTCTGGATCCCAAAGTTGTACTGGTTCTCGATGTTGATGGAGCCGTCCTTGAGCTTCGTGACCTCGACGTAGTTGGACCCGCGGTCCAGGAAGTCGGAGCGGTACTGCGCGTCGATGACGGACGGGTCGCTGTGCATGACGGCGTGCATGTGGCCCGTCGCCGGGTGGTGGTCGTCCGCGTAGACGGGCGCGGCCATGACCGTTTCTTCCAGCCGTTTGTCGGGCTTCTTGAGCATGGTCATGGCCGCGTTGCAGGGGCACGCGAAGATGACGCGGTCCGCGACGAGCACGCCGTCGTGCTCGTCGACGACGCGCTTCGTGCCGTCGGGCATCACCCGCACCTCGAGCACGCGCGTGTCGACCTTCACATCCACATCTTCCACGAGCTTGGCGAAGACGGCGCGGATGCCCGTGCCCGCGTCCTTCCAGGTGACGCAGGTCGTCAGCTTGCAGTCCGCGTCCGTCTTCGCCGACGCCCCGTGCCACGAGTTCTCGGGCGTCGGGTTCAGCGGGATCTGCGCCTCGATGATGGGGCCGAAGACCGCCGGGAAGGGGCGGAGCTCGTCGACGAGGAAGGACGCCGTGTAGTAGGGCGTGAAGATGATGTCCCACCACTCGTCGGAGCCCCCGACGCCCTTGAACAGCGAGTACAGCGGGACGACGTTCAGCGGGTTGAGCATGCCGAGGCCCGTGTGGTTCGTGTACATGGACATGGTGTCGTGCCGCTTCCAGGGCGCCCAGGCGAGCGTGAAGAACTCCGTGCAGCGCCGCGCGAACAGCTCGACGGCCGCGTACTTGCGGAAGTCGTTCGCGAAGACGGACCGCAGGGTGTTGACGCCGTTGGCGACGTCGCAGCGCGGGTCCGCGCCCCACAGGGTGCCCTCGTAGCCCGGCACCTTGGAATTCAAGAACCACGACAGCGGCATCGCGACGGTCTCGACGTTCAGGTGCGCCAACAGCGCCGTGTAGTTCTTGTAGAGCAGCGGCGGCCAGGCGGTGACGGACACGCAGGATTTCACCGTGTCGTCCTTGCCCGTGTTCGACACGCAGGACTGGGTCCAGGTGTCGTCGACCCAGTCGAAGGTCCGCGCGTTGCCGGACGTCGCGGGCCGCGCCTCGTACAAATGGACCTCGAAGCCGTCGCGCGCGAGCATCCACGCCGCGGAGCAGCCCGCGATGCCGCCGCCGACGACGGCGACGACGCCCCGCGCGGAGCCGTCCTCCGTCGCGGGCAGGGGCTCGGAGCCCGGCGAGAAGCCTGTGTGGAAACCAACCACTGGTTTGGGGGGTCCTGACCAAACTTCAGAACTCTCTAGCTCGGTCAAATCGAAGTCGATTCGGCTGATTTTTGGACGGATCGATCGCTCTCGTCGAGTTCTCGAAGCACAGCAGAAAGCCTTGCGTCGAAACGGTCGCATACGCGCACATTGAAGTCGAGTTGAAGATTTGATTTCCACACGGCGAGAAGCCCGCGACGGCGATGGGCAGCCGCGCGGCGACCCACTTCGCGACCGTCGCGCTGAGGTACCTGCCGATGGCGCGGACGCACTCGCGCACGCCGATGGCCAGGGGCAGCGCCGCGGCGACGGCCAGCAGGCGCCGCCGCGCCGCGCCGAGCCGCGCCATGCGGCGGTCGACGTGCGCTTCGGGCGTCGACCGCGCGGACGCGAGCGCCGCGTCCTCCGGCGACAGCTTGCCGACGGCGAGGGGCGCGAGCCAGCGCGCGGCCTTGTCCGAGTGGCCGTGGACCGTGTAGTTGTCGAAGAAGTGCTTGAGGTCGAGGCCCGTCGCCGTCAGGAGGAGCTCCTTCCCGCCCGGGTGGCTCTCCGCGAACTGCGTGACGTCGTAGACGATGCCCTCGTAGGTGCAGAGGAGCTGGCCGCCGCCGCCGTCGCGGGACACGTCGGCGCGGCAGGCCTCGACGTCGGCCAGGGCCATGACCTCGAGCTCCGCGACGTCGTCCTCGTCTAAATCGACGGTGACCTTGCCGCCGTCGAGCGCCGAGTGCGTCGGGTGCTCCTGCTTCGTCTTGAGCGCCGCCGACTTTTTCGCCTTCTCGCCGCGGTCCATGTCGTCGAAGCTCCGCACGGCGCCGTCGCAGAGGGCCCGCGTCGACGCGACGGCGTCGAGCAGAGGCGCCCACGCGTCCGCCCTGTAGGCCGCCGCGGCGAGCGCGGCGCCGGCGCCGGCGCCGGCGGCCGCGGCCGCGGCGCGGCGCCGCGGCGCGGCGCGCGCGGCCGACGACGACGCGCGCGCGGCGCGCAGCGATCGCTGCGACGTCGCCGCGAGCATGCCGGCTCGCTTCGCCACCATCATGGCGCTGCGCCGCGCGCGCCGCGCGAGCGCGAGCAAGACTCGAGCCGGGCTCCCGCCGAGGCCCGCGAAGCGCTCGTCGAAGCGCGGAGGCCGCTACGCTGCCCTCGCACGGCGGTGGAAGCCGATGTCAAGGGGGGATCCGCAGAGGCTTGATTTTTGCGGCCGCGCGGCGGCGCTGTCCGCCGGGGCTATTTCGACAGCCTGAGTGCGCCCACTGCCGGCTAAGCTAAAGTTAACCGGTTCAAAGAGCAGCGAAGCCGTGAAGTTTTGACGTCACGGCTTTGCCTCGCTCCGGGCTCGGACGCGCGATGCAGCGGTTCCAAGACTTGGCGCGGCGCTCGGTCTGTGGACCATGTCGCGCCTTGGGCCCGGCTGTGAGTCGCTCGGGAAAGACCATCGGTCGAAGGCGAGCAACTTAGTTCGCGTCGGGGCAGCCCGTGGATGACGAGAACGGCCATTAACGGTGGGGGGCGACCGACGAGGGGCCCAACTTAGTTCCAGGGGGCGTTTGGGCTGTTAGACTTCGAAGAGACCCCCCCTGGAATGATGTTCCCGAGGGCACTGTCTCGGTTCTAACAGCCCAAACGCCTCATGCATTGCGCGGTGAGCACCGTGTCACCCGCGGCGCCGCACGCCTCCCGGAGGTGGTGAGGTGATCTCGATCAAATCCACTCGAGCCGAAGAGCTGCCGCGAGGGCATCTGGTCGCCCCCATGACGAACGATTCCCGACGCTCTGTGACTCGAAGGGGACCGAAAATCGGGTCGGGGGAAGCTGCCGCGCCTCATTCCACCCCCTGGGGCTGCCCGTTTGCGTCGCCTCGCAATCGTCCGGATGTCACGTCTTTTCATGTGCCTCACCCACATGTTTGCGGACCTCAAAGCCACTGGGATCGTTGCACGTCGCTGCATATTCGAGGAGCGCGGGGCCCTCTAAGGTGGAGATTCCATCATCGGCCGCTGAAATGCTCGCACGAGAGACCGTCTCTTAGCTACGGATTACTGCAGCATTGCTTCATAGATGTGCTTGTTCAACGACGGCTCATTCGCAGCCGTAGCCGGTGGTGCCGAGGCCTCGGCCGGCCCAGGGGCCGGCCGCCATCTGCCGCCCCGGGCGGTGGCGCCGCGCCGCCACCCGCGCCCCCGGCTCCCGAGCGCGTCTGCTTAGGTCCCCCGCGCGGCTAGGCCTCCGTCTCGGCGATCTCGTTGACGGCGAGCTGGAGGTTCGTGAGCTTGCGCTTGAGCTCGTTGATGCCGCAGAGCACGACGTCGTCGACGGGGATGGAGCCGAGGGACTCGACGTCGAAGATGAAGTTCGTCGTGGAGGGCCGCGCGAAGAGCATGGACTTGCCCGTCGGGTTGAGCGTCTTCGTGAGCGCGTGGATGTCGTCGGCGAAGTCGAGGATCGCGGCCTCGTCCTTGACTTCGATTTTCGACCGGTCGCGGTCGTCCGCGTAGCCGAGGACGCCCGCGGGGCAGACCTGGATGATGGCGTCGCGGAGCGTCGGCGCGAGCTCGGCGACGGCGGCGTCGTCCCAGGTGACCTCGGGCACGGGCCGGAAGACGCACTTCGATACCGGGATCCACTTCGCGTGCTCCTTGCCGCAGCCCAGCTTGGCGATGCACGTCAACTTCAACTCCTGGCCCTTGGCGAGCTTGACGAGGGCGATGCCCGTCTCCTGGGACGTCGACTCCTCGCGCTTGGACACGAAGTGCACGGGCGCGACGTCCGGGTCGTCGGACACCAAGTCCAACGTCGTCACGGTGAGCGGGTTGTTCTTCTCGTGCTCCGGCAGGTCCTTGGCGCGGTCGTCGAAGGACACGTGGAGCTTGAGCGTCGCGGCGCAGAAGTCGCAGTGGCTGTCGCAGTCGCAGTCGCGCGTGTGGCGGAACCGGCGCCGGATGTCGCGGTCGCTCGACATCGCCGCGGCCTCGCTGGGCCCCATGTCCTCGCGCAGCCGCGTCTTGTCCGGCTTGTAGGTGTACTTGATGGGCACGAGGCCCAGGCGGTGCGCGATGATCTCGTCGTTCACGACGGACGTGTTCTCCTCGAACGTCACGAGGTCGATGGCCATGCTCACGACCTCGCCGACCATGACGCGCCGCAGCGAGTTCGCCGTGGAGCAGTCCGTGTCGCGCACCTCGAAGCACATCGTGTTCTCCTCGAGGTCGCGCACGGACACCTGGGGCACGCGCGACCGGCCGCTGGCGACGGCGTAGACCGACATGGCTAGCGGCGGTTCGCGAGCGCGGCGCGCGGCGCGGCCGCGCGTCCGCGCGCGGGTGGCGCGGCGCCGCGTCGGCGCGGCGAGCGCGGGCGGGCAAAAAAAACGCGCGCGGCCTGGCGCTCGACGACAGACGCGGTGCTCGAGTCTTGTGTTGGGCTCGGCGACGCGGCGGGCAAGCCGGCTCAGTCGCCTCAACATCCGCGACCGTGACTTGACCGTGCAAACTTTGGCGCCCGTTTGGGCAGCCCCTGCGGACCGCGCATCGTCTTCATGGGCATGGAGGCGAAGGAGGCCGAGTGCAAGGATGCCGAGGAGAAGGCCGGGCGCGTGGACCTCGTCTACAAGAACAGCGTCACGGCCTACAAAAACTCCAAGGACCGCGCCCGCGATCTCATGAAACGGCTCGGCCAGGAGGAGGCGAACCTGCGCGCCTCCGTCGAGGCCTGGGTCGACAAGTACTGCGAGGCCCAGCGGCGCGCGACGAGCGCGCGCGGACGCGGCGCGGTTGCCCTTCGACGGCGGGCGCGCGGCGACCCTCGCCGCCCGCAGGCGCGGCGACGCGAGCGTGCGCGCGCTGTGGTTCAGCCGGTCGCGGCGGCAGGCGTGCGCGCTCATCGGCGAGCGGGCGCGCCGCGGCGCCCGCCGAGGACCCCCCCCCCCCCGCGCGCCGACAAAAAGGG